TGACAGAAAGAGTACTGGGGCCATCTCCCAGCTTCGGCGATGCTGGCAAACTTCAGTAGGTTGAACTCCACCGCGGCTGCAATTTTCATTCACCGGAATTTGCAAGCCTCGGTGGTGTGCTTCAGAATGACATATGAAATGGCGAAGTGGCACTGGTGCTATTTTTTAGGATGAAGCTGGGCACTTCTGTGCCGAGGCGTGTGTGCTGCTGCTGCTTCTCTTGGTCGTGTCGTCCTCCATTTGCTTCTTGCGAACGCATTCAGAAGAAAGTCGATCCGATTAGAAAACTGGCCAGGTGCTCTGCTTCTCTCGGAGATGAATGAGGAAAGTCCATCCGATTAGAAAACTGGCCAGGTGCTCCGCTTCTTTTGGAGACGGCCTTGAGATATCATCACTGCCCTCACAGAAACACCAATTGCAAACTGGTCGTGTCTGAGAAAGTGTCTTTAGCTGACAAGGGCCTTGCTTCACTACACAACACTCACCATGCATTTGATCGCTCTCTGGAACCCCAACATTCAAAATGTTGACCTCGTCCGAATGCACGTGTCCCAGAAAAAGCGTCCAAATGCATGCGGAGCCTTGTCTAGCGGAGCCGCTTTACTTGCATTTGGTCGTTTTCTGGACCCGCATCATTCAAAATGTGGAGCGCATCCGAATGCACGTGGTCCAGAAAGGGTCCAACATGTGGAACGTTGTCTAGTGGAAGTAGGCCCAAAGCCTTTCGTTGGATGCAGAAGATGATAGATCTAGTCCAGAAAGAGAGAAGAAGTTAAGTTCACCTTGCAATGGAGGGAGGCGGGAAAGAGGGCTCAGGAGTCAGAATGGCAAATTGTTTAACGCCAGGGTGTGCAATGCCATGCCTACCCTTCACCTCATGAATTGCATGGGCAAGGCCCCAATGGTGTTACGGTTCGGTAAGGAGGTGTGAACTGGTCATAAAAAAGCTGACCAGGTTCTTGTCTTACATAGATCGAATGGCCCCTCCCCTACCGTGAGGTCCCTCTGGTTCTTGTCTAGTTTTCATGCTTTCATGTCGAACACCTGTCTAGTTTTCGCTGGATAGTTATCGGCGTTATCACACTATGGGCAGTACACTGCATTCCAAGTGTATCTGGACCTCTGGTTGTGTAGTGCCGCAAGGTACTATTTCCCTGTATAAAGGCAGGCAGGCAGAGGCCAGACTGGGCTATGGGCCTCACCCCACGGCGTACCGAATGCAAAAGTGACAAGTGGATCTTCCCAGACTCGATCTGAAGGGGATATTCGCCACTTCTATACCACTTTCTTCTTTTTTTTCTTTTTTTCTTTTTTTAAATCTTCTCTGTACTGTTCCATTTTTATTTTTATTTTAAGTTTTTTTTTATTTTAAAACAGCCCAAGTCCGTGTTAGGGGTGGTGATAAGAGCAGCCACCACTAACACTTTCCGGGGAGGCTCCATCTATTGGTGGGGAGCAGCACCTGCCAGAAATCGGGTCCAGCGTCCCAGAACATCATGCTTGAATGTTTGCACAGGCACCTGATATAAGCCCTAAACCCTCCCTTAAACCTTCCACCCCAGGATCAACTTGCGGAGTATAAAAGAGGTGGCCCCTTGTTCCACTGTTGCCTGCCTTCTTTCCGTCCCCTTGCAGTGGTGACCTTGCGCCTGATACTTTGTCCATCATCCTTCCTGTAGCAATCTCACTCTGTCGGAAAGGATCTGGAATCGGTCCCCGTTCCCCTGTGGCTGCTGCTTCTTCTGTTCGTTGTACCTCGCAATACCTCTGGGTAGGGGAAAGAGGAGAGAGGTGGAGGGGCAGGGCCGGGTGGTGAAGGGGAGGCGGGACCTGGTGGTGAGAGGCGGTGAAAGGGCAGGAGAATAGGAAAAGGGGAGGGAAGGAGTAGCACCACATAGGGCGAGAATGTCTGCCAGATTTTGGGGCATAGTTGTTTGGGGCAGGCAACGGTGGAGAGATGATTAAGCAGCAGACCGACAGTCTGTTGTGTTTTGTTTTGTCATGGGACAAGAACAAAGTTAGGGAGAAGGTACGGCACTTCGAAGCAGTGGAAGGGTCTTCGTTGCCAGGAAAGTTATGTCCTCCTCCAAGGCTTCCACTGAATGCTGAGCCTGGTATCGAGCTCAGAAACGATGTGGTGAGGGTCCTTCTAGAGTTGGCGATAGGCCTC